ACAATGCCAATGCAAATTTGTTAGAAAAAACCAAAAAGTTGGCCAAACTATAAATTATATTGGCCATATACCATGCTGAATGTCGAGAAGAAAACCTGCTTGGCCATCCCATTCTTTTGATTTTCCGGGAAAAGCATTCAAAGTTGCTTTTTAAGTGAGAGAATACAATATTTATCATTGAATCAAACAGTCACTTATCGATCTTTTGCCTTTTAATTAATTAGATCGTTGAAAGAAGCTAAACCGTTGAGAATATTTATTTCATATCAAACCAAATTTCTTTTGCAATGAAAATGGTTTACACCTCATTGTTTCAATTTATATTTTGAACCCCTTAAAGCTCCTTGCCCCTCATCTGATCACATGCATAGGTCAAAGGAGGTAAGGGGCATTTAAATCTTTGATAACTCTACTAAGTGGTTAATAATTAATCCAACCTTCCTCATATAGAAATTGTCCTAAACCCACAAAAAAGTTGAAAAGCAACTTCAAATTATTTACAAACTCTATAAACCTTGAACATCAAAATAATTTTCTAGAAATTTTTGTTGAATTCCCTTCAAACATGTAGCTCTCTTGTAACATTATATAGAACAGAAATGAAACAAGAAGTACATGAAATGAACTCCATTGCTGTAGGTAAGCCAATATTTGTGACTTATATATATATATATATATATATATATATGTATGTATGTATGATTCTTTGACATGTTACTGCAAGAAGTCAAGAATCATACAAGAGAGCAAGAATTTGTCCTCAATATTGAAGGCAAACATAAAGTTGAAAGATCAATGTGTGGGAATCATGGAAGCCAACAACCTCTTAGCTGAGTCGATGAAAAAAGAGCTGTGGCGTTTTGTAAGACTTGAGTTCGAGTTCATGCAATCCCAACCTTCATCTTCAATATATATATATATATAAAAGAAACGTATAAAGAGTAACTTTTTCCTGGTAAATTTCGTCTTCTTCTAATTGAGAATTGTTATAAAGAAAAGATTCCATTAACTTGGGATGATTAACACCCGTACAAATTGATTTTATCTTTCACATTTTGAGCGCTTCAATGGCACTTTTTTGTTTGCACTTTCTTTGAATTTATGTCCACCATTACCACCAAATGAAGCTAATTTCATGTTTAAATTTTGAATAAGGTTTTAATTCCGTCTAAAGCAAGGCTTTTCCGAACATTGCAATATCTCTAATGCAAAAGATTGAGAGATACGATGTCTCAATTCTACTTTGCTTTTTCCTAATCAAAGAGAAAAAGAAAAGGGGAAAACTAATTCGGGTAGCTTTGCACCTTTGCCCGCTTCCCAGATCTTTATTTTGATCTCCGGTTACTAGTGAATTGAAAGATAATCCTTGGGTTAAAGGACTAATCTGACCATGTCTGTGCAAAAAACAGAATAATACAAATGATTGAGAGATTGATTAGCATTTTTTAAAGATATTTTATTGAGAATCTAAAATTTAATTCAATTAGTTTATACAATTATTTTTATTTTTAAAAAATAGCATCCAGTAAATTTAGGATTTAAATCCCATACCTGCAACATTTTCTTTTATTCCTAGATGAATTAATATCATGAATAATCTCTAAATTTTAATAAAATGTTAAAATTGTATTTAAATTTTAAAAATTTATAATATGATGCATGAATTATGAATATATTAACTAATATGATATTCATTTCTAATGATATATGAGGGACAAACAATCTTTTACGTATTACATTAGTTAATAGATTTATAGTTCAAATATCCATTAAAAATTTTTAAAATTCAAGTACCACATTAAATATTTTATTATATTTTAAGAACCATTCATACTATTAATTCTTCCTCAATTATGATCTCTTATGGTAAAAGAAATATATTCTATTAGTTTCTTTAAGATAAGTAGAGAAGGGAAAAGAAGAATACGAATTTTGTTCTTAAAAAGATGGCGAGACATTCAAATTAATTTTTTGCAATCCATGAATTAACTTGCATAGAAGTATTAGTGGGGCAAAGGAAAAAAAAGAAAGAAGAAGAAAAACTACACTAAAAATGTAGACTTAATGTTAACACACCTAGTTATTGCAGTTAATTTGTGATAGAAGTCTGTTGATTTAAAACATATACTTATCAATAATTTCTATTGTTAAAGAGAAAATAGAAAGTTTATAAATGAACCTTATATATATAATTAATTACGAGTAAGACATTATATATTATGATAAGAGGAGTTATTATTACCCAAAGGGGATTGTATGAGATATGATAAATATCATCAATTTTTTTGTATATATTTTAATAAACTAATTAATTGATTTTTGTGGAGAATATTTTGAAAATAAAAATTTGAATATAAAATAATCATTCATGTGATTTAGTCCAATTGATAAGGAAAGAGGTCACATTCCCTTATCAACTAGGATTTGATTCAAAAATAAAATTTTGAATATACCATATCGATGAAAATACAAGCTTTGAAGATTGTTTATAAAAATTCACTTAAGCAAAGCTTAAAGACAACCCAACTGAATAGTAATCAAATGTGTAGTTTTTTTTTATTTATATAAATAAGAGGTAATAGTTTAGGAAAGAAGGAAAGTATTATAAGTGTTAAGATTAGAATTTTAAATTTATTAGATGCTATCATTTAAGAATAATTATATAAATAAATTAAATTAAACTTCGAATATATATTTTATATAAACCAACTAAACTAAATTTCGAATTCATTAAACATTTAACTTTTTGCTTAGTATTTGTGTCATAGCGCATTACTTACTATGAATATAACTAAGAAGGAAGAGCTTTTCATGCAAGATTTATAATATGCTCGACATCCTTAAAAATAACACTTGTTTTCACTTCTTTTTTACCAAATGATTTGGGCATGCGAAGTCATTTGCTGTAACTTACGGAAATATTCAGATTTTCACTTTTAACAGATATGAGTATCTATCCAACGATTGAGCAAAAGATTCCAGTAAGAAAAAAAATAGAAAAGTTGATATTGAAAGGGCGCAATTTATAGGATGCTGATTGATTTGTTATTGTGATTTAACTGGTTTTGGGTTTAAACAAGAAACACGCAAAAATTGGACTGTGGATAGCAAAGCATTTCCTTGTCAACTTAGACAATAATGCGTGCAAAGTATAAACTATAGGCCAAAACTGTGACCGCGAATCTAGACAGCAAATTTTTATTTTTTTATTTTAAAATTTAATTTAATTAATTTATATAATTATTTTTAAAAAATTAAGTTTAAGATTCAAATCTCGATATTTATAATTTTTTTACTTTTTAAATTAAGATCTCATTTATAAAAAAAAAAAAAAGTTTGCACTTTTTCTCTGGCCGATAGCTTTAGTTTCTATCTCCTTCAAATGGTAGCTAAAAACACGCACTCATGAAGTTGTATAAGAATCGATAAACAATAAAACAAGTTTGCAACATCTTTTCAAGATATAAATGACTTTCTAGAAAGGAAAATTGCAAATTTCTTTGCTATAATACAATCTTAATAGGGTAGCGAAATTCTTTTTCATTCATTAATTAGTCTTTGCTTTTGGTTGTGTTTCAAATTTTTTATATTTAAAATTATCAAAAATTAAATCTTAATCATTAAATCTAAAAATTCAAAAATCAATCAATCGATTACTTATTGGTTAAGAATTGTGCTTCAAATTTCAGTCAAAAGTATACATACCCTTTGGAGCAATACTCAGCCAAGTTAATAATGTCGGAAAACCCTTTTGTTGGACAGTTTTCCTGGATCAAACATGCATATTGATGATTATGATATTGGGCAATATTCAAATTTCAGGCGAAAATTTTCTCTGGAGATTGTCCAATCCTGATTACCTTATTCAAAATTATAGGGTCTTTGAGTAGTGGATTTTTTTAGGGCAGTGAATATAGAAATTGGTCTCTATGTATAATTCATATAAATTTGAATTTGGTTTTTTGTCAACTGTATTAGTAGAATATACACAACCACAACAAGAAGTTTAATTTCTGGTATATAAATTATATATAATATAGTCAGAAAAATATAAAATACTAAATTAATAAAGGCTTTTTTACCAAAAATTAAATGAATAAAGTTTTTTCGTGTCATAAAATACAAATTTGGTTTTTATCAATTGCAAATTTACCAAATTGGTTTTGTAATGGTGTCCGTTAGATCGAGTTTTTTGTTTTCTATGGCAGCCAAAAACTTAGGGTTGAAAGTTGAAACTATAGCCCACATGGAGTGATCGTGAAGAACTGTGCTTGGTGGACTGATGCTTTCAGGTGATGCAAGTTACACCTCGATTGAAGTCAGTGAAGGGCAATGTAGTCATTTGGGAAAGGTGTTGTCAATCAATGGAAAAGAGTGAAGAAACAAAAATCATGTTATTCCCTCCTATTTTTAACCCAATAGCTTTATCCTGTCTCCATCAATCATCTCACTCTCTCTCTGTCTCTCTTTCTTTTCCTAACTGTTAAAACCTCTTCCATTCCCATACAAGCCCTGGACGAAGTTATTTCCACTCACCCATCTACCATTGCCAGTCTCTGTGATTTAGTAATACTTTATATTAAGTTACTGTATGAAGTTTAAATTACGAGATCTTTTTTTCGTAAGGAAAAAATGTGACATCTGCCAAAACCTTCAAATGTGTTAGGAAATGGAAAAGCCCACCACATGAGCATCATAAGCCTTTCAAGTTTTCTAGGATTGATGAAACAAAAGATTCAAAGAAACCTGAAAGAAAAGAAAAGAAAGGGACTAGACCCAAATGCTTGCCCCTATACTATTATTTTTTCCTCTTCCTATATACTTGGCCTCATCAATCATGCATCTTCTCTCTTTTCTCATAGCATTATTGAGTCCCAGGTAAAATCCACTTTTTGGCCTGTCTGTCAGTCTTCACCAAACCTCAATCCCCACAATTTTACAAATAATTATATATATCTGGCCTAGACCTTTCTGTTCATCTTCCCCTACGTGTCAAAGTTCCATCCTCTTTCCTTTCTTTCCTCTCTTTGAATCCCTGGTGAAAGAAAAATAATCATCCTGAAAACACTTTCAGCTTCCTCTCCTTTCTTCAAAAATTTTTGTCTTTGTATTTACTCTTTTGCTTTGTTTTTCCTTTTGTTTAACTCCAGTTCTTCAGGCTATCTAAGCCCTTACAAGAAAAAAGATCATTATCTCCATTAGTTTAATCCCAAAAGACCATATGGATTCTCTTCAGGATTTAGAAGCCTCAAAGACAAACCCTTCCACTACTTTAACCCCAAATTTCCCTGCAAACCTTTCCATTACCACCGTTGCTACCACCACCAACACAAACCCTTTAGCCACGAATTCCTCCTCCTCCCCATCCTCTTCTTCCTCCACTGCTCCTTCCACTCTCAGCCGCTATGAAAACCAAAAGCGCCGTGACTGGAACACTTTTGGTCAATACATTCGCAACCACCGCCCTCCTCTCTCCCTCTCTCGCTGCAGCGGAGCCCACGTCCTGGAATTCCTCCGCTACCTTGACCAGTTTGGGAAAACCAAAGTCCACACTCCACTTTGTCCTTTCTTTGGTCACCCTAACCCTCCAGCTCCATGCCCCTGTCCTCTCCGCCAAGCTTGGGGAAGCCTTGATGCACTCATCGGACGCCTCCGAGCTGCCTTTGAGGAACACGGAGGCAAGCCTGAAGTAAACCCTTTTGGGGCTAGAGCTGTTAGGCTTTACCTACGTGAGGTTCGTGATTCGCAGGCTAAAGCCAGGGGCGTAAGTTATGAGAAGAAGAAAAGAAAGCGACCCCCTCAAGCTCCACCTCTTCCTCCTCCAAATGTCAACCAAAATCAGTAAAAAGTAAAAAAAAAAACAAAAAAAGTAAAGACGTGATCAAACGAGCTGCATGCATGGGAAAAGAACATGGTTTCACCAATGTTTCTTCTTCAGTTTTATCCTATCTTAATTATTAGTATATAATCTGCAACATCGGATGGTATTGTCTTAAAAGCCGCTTCCTTTTGTTATTTTGTCTGGTATTGCTCGCTTCATAACTGGATATTACCCTACATCTTTCTTAGTATTTCCTATTAATTATTTTACCATGATTAAAACAGTAGTTGTTTTTACTGATAACAGTATCAGCAAGGTCTCTACTATTTGTAGTAATTAAGATCTATGTGACATAACACCCAATTTGTCATTGATATGTACTTTTGATAGGCCACTTATGACAAGTTATTAATTTCAGATCATGTTGTGTGTCTCTTCTTCAATGGTAAAAAAACATTTTCTTTTAATTCTGTTTATTTTTCATTCCAAAAAACTTATGTATTGGCCATGGGATTGGGGATATTGGCAAATCAAATCAGGCACTAAAAAGGGTATGCAAAGAATCACGTGTCAGGTGAGTTACAGAAGCATTCCTGTTTTAGTATCATTTATGTTCGTCGTTTTTCTTCTTTCTCTCTTTTGCTTGTTGCGGTTGTTTATCTTTCTGTTTGACAAAAGGATTACTGCTAGAATGGATATGGAAGTGAAGGAAAAGACTAAGCCAAGCAGCACTAAACACTTAAAACAGTTAAGTAAACAGCAGTTTATGTCTTAGCCTTCTAGAAATATGTGGGGTTCCGTGTTTTCAACAGCTAAAATCCTATTAGTCCACTGAAACAAGTTTGCAGCAGGCTGGAAGTAGGTTAAGGTAATATCAGGCTGCAATAACCAGGATGGGTCTTCGTCTTGAATAGTCTATAGCTAGTTGCCTGATTTAGAGATTAGACAAATTCATCTCCCATTTCTCCATATCTGTCATGTATGTTCCCCCAAATGAAGATATATATATATTTTTATTTATTAAGTGGAAGTCCGTTGTCACATCTCACATGAACCCTAATAAACACTGAAATATTGTTAGTTCTTCATTGAAGGCAAACGTGATTTGATATGGATTTTGAGAAGGAGACAACAAATTAAATTGTCTAATTGTAGATAATCATATCTGGATTAATCACTCCAATGTTGAATAAGTAGCTATCACAACTTGGATTAGATTCAAGACTAATCAAGATAAGCCAAGCTGGTTTTCCTTCTATGTATCCACTCTCTACACTTGAGTTCTAACCAGTGCAATAATGGACTATTGAGTTTTGGCTATTTGGAAAATTGCTTGGTCCAGCCCTATAAATTGGCTGATTTGTTTCTTTGTTAATTTCCTTGAAACCTTGATTGCATAGCTCTTTGTTTTCTCATTGTTGTGCTTGGTTGAATGCATGAAGATATTGTGTGAAGGAAAAATTAGTGTCTGAAACATGTTTTTGAATACCAATTAGGTAATTGCATCAAATATAACTCAACTTATGACAGTGATGATCTTTTGAATACCAATTTTTCTCTATAGCTAGGTTATAGGATTACATTGTGGTATGTCCCTTTGAATCAAGGGCTTCTTAAATACAAGAATAAATCAAGAAAGAAAGACATGAGCTATTTACAAAAAAAAAAAAAATTGAATTATTTAATGATGGAATTTTTTATTAGTTCTTGACTGTTGGTTGACTGTATCCATCAGTATTATTAAGTTGAACCTTTATTACAAGAGACTACTATTTTACTAGACCTAGGCATCATTATATGATATATTTCAGATTCTGCTGGGACCAAAGTTGATACTCGACCTTTGTTTTTGTATTTTCTGGTGCATATGAGAACAACACATCATTATAAGTAAAATCAAATGAAATTCTTGGGTGCAAAGATATTACTATAATTGCTTGTTTAATGGTTATATGCTTATCTTAGTAAAGTGAATGTGAAAATTAATAATGATTTTGGTTCTCTAATAACAATCTAAAGTATTTTTAACTTGTGATGAATTTGGGTGTTTGATTTTTTTTTTCTTTGATAAGGTGAAGCAATTTTAGATATACATAAGTAGCCTATCCAAAATGGAGTGATTTTTTTTTTGGAAATACAAAGCTTTTAATTAATAGATAAGTGAGATACATCTAAGCAATAAGTTGTTAAACCCATTTAAAAGAAAATCATAACTCAAAGGTTAATGTCATAAATAATCCCTAAATTATAATAAAATATTTAATGTAATATCTAAATTTTAAAAATATTTAATATGATATTTGAATTATAAATCTGTTAACTAATAAATAAAATAAAATTTGTTATAAACGCAAACATCTCATCGTGTAGCGTGTTGTTGATTATAAATGGGGTCTAACAAATTATATATTGCTTTTAAGGGTTTAATGCAAAACGACACTCATGTAAGTTCAAATGAAGTGCATATATATATATATATATATATTACACAATGTAAAAAACTAAAAAGTTTTATATATTTTTTTAATTATTAATTTTAACATATCCAAAAGATGAAAGAGATAAATAAAAATTAAAAAAATAATTTAATTTTATCTATTAAAATTAATGAAATCATGATTAAAATATATATAAAATTAAAAAAATTAACATTATGTAAATTGGTCCCTCCTATATATATAACTTTTGCTGCTGCATCGAATTGCTCATCTAAACATAACCCTAGCAAAAAAAAAAAAAAGAAGGAAATTAAAAAAGCGAATACATATGATAGAGACAAAAGCGAAATATGAAATAATGGTAGATATACATTAATACAAAAGGCATGAGAGGAGGAAATGACTAAAATATACACATATTTAGTGTTACCAACTTACCGGTTAGTGTTACCATAGTTCATATGCAAACAAAAGCATCGAGGGGCTTTCCTTTTATTTTTTAATCTTTCTTGCGTGGTTTCCAAAGATGTCAAATGGCAACTAAAGGTATATTTGGATAAGCAATGAGATTAGTTTTGATAAGATTGAAAACAGTAGTGGTAGTAAGATTAGTTATTATATTTGTGAGATTAGATATTATAGCGATAAAATTAAAATTAGTAGTGAAATATGTGTTTAGATGCAAATGTAGTGATAAAAAATTACCATTATAGACAATATATAAAATTTTATATAAAATAAACTTTTAGATTATTCAACAGTTATAAAATTAATAAATTATTAAAATTATTTTTATATCAAATAATAATTTTGGTAATAAATAACTAAAAATTAATAAAAATGATATTAATAATATATAAAATATTTTTTAAAATTAAAATATATATTGACTTATCTAGTTATAATATAAATAGCAGCTTGCGTCTGCGTTGCTACGGGGTTTGTTTTTGGCATTCAAAATTACATTGTATAATACGTCATAGACAAAAGGTAAAGAGATAATAACAGCTGTCTTAATTCCATCACAAATCAAAAGGAAGATAATAACATATAGTCAAAGTTCAAAGCAGATCAATAAGGATAAAAGTAAAACAAAAAAAATTACAAGTTAAGTCTTCTCTAGATTAAAGTAGTGCAGGTGTTTATTCATAATCACGATAAATGATAAATTCAAAAGTATTTTAGTTGATTATCCCAAAAAAGTAGAGATTGCTAGGTTTTAAGACATTATCAATGGTAAATTTCTTCCACCTTGCTATAAACACCTTGTTTTATTCATTGCATTTACACTACACAATCCAAAACTTGCTTGACTCAGAAATCAACAAAGTCATAGAAGTGCTACGTTTAGGTAGACAGTCATGGAATTCAGGTGGAATTTATTGCAATTTGCCAAAAAAATTTTGTTTGATCAAAAGTTTTCATGCATAGTTATTTCTAAGGTGTTAATGATAAAAATGTTCATGCATAGTTGTTTTTCAGATGCTGAGGATCAAAATGATATAATAATGTATGAAAAAAGTGTATATATGATTTATTAGAAAAATGTAAGACGTTTCAACATTTGTCTTGCTTATTAAGCAATAAAACATTCGAGGATCATTGTCAATGTAATCATCACTTCCAGATGTCTCATGGTGATAAGCTTGAAACTTGTTATCTAATTCATCCTTTGATTCTTCAATGTCAATGATTTCAATAGGATTCGATTGATTGACAATAGAAGAGCTTGCATAATTTATTTGGTTTTTTCACTACAACAAATAAAATATATATAATATAAATGTATAGAACACAAATTTAATCAACTTGAAATGAAAATGTTACATGCCATTGTCAATAGCTTATTTGTCATTATCAACTTGGCTGATCTAGAGGAAGAAAAACCTCAAAAATCATATATTCATTTTATTTGAAATTCAACAAATCTTGAGATTTTAAAAAATGAGTATCAGCAAGGTGTTTCCCCATTTTGAAAGTATAATTGGCCAACAATTTGAGTAAGTTCCATTCAAAACAGATTTGTAATAAACCCTTAAAGTACATATATGTTGGAGTTTGGATATTTGATATGTATGTGTGAGCAAACCTTTTAGGAAGTCTCTAAAATATTTTTGTTTGAAAATTTGTCAAAATAGCTGATTAGAGAAAAAGGAAACAAAATAACAAACAAAATTAATATATGAATCTATCATAAATTTGATGAATTATGAATGCTTAATCTTACAGATTCTAAGATGACATATGCATAAACATTCAATGGATCAATTACAATAGGTGAAGAAATAGGGAAAATAATATTGGAATCATAGTAGCTGCAAAAAAGGTAAAGATTGAATATAGGCAATAATGGTTTATTTAGGAATTAATAAGTCGTGAAAGTATTAATCTATTTGGAGAAAGGCTAAACGTTCACAATCATAGAGGTGTGTTACCGTTTACAAATAAGAGGAAACCGATGGGAGCAATAATCAAACCTAAAAAAAAAATATAAGCATGAATGGTACTCAATGTTGCAAATCTAACTCAAATGGTGAAATATAGATTAACAACATAAAATGCATACATGAATTAAAATAATCAATTATGGCAGAATTAAAAAAAAAAAAGGTAAAACATAAAGAGAATTAGTTGTGTTTGCATAATGTTCACTACAAAATCTTAAGTGATATCTTAAGCAAAATCATAAAAAGCTATGAGATTTCATTCGAATCCTTAG